GAGACTCTAAAAGCTGAAGTCCAGCGCTTAAATGATGCCATTGGTACCTGCATTACTGCTGGGAGGCAAATGCAAGGACGCTACTCCACTATTGTGCATTTATCCAGTGCAAAGGCTTTTAGGTTTGGCTTCAGCCAGGGTTCTGGTTACAAAGCAAAGGATCCAGAAGCCTTTGGTGCTGACATGGAAGTGTTCTTCATTTATGCTGAGGGTCCAAAAGCCCAAGAGGCTGAGGTGCTCTTTGCTAAGATGGTGAAGGCTCATCTAGAGGATCATCCAGCTTCAAGCTTGCCAGCTCCTCCATCTTCTGACTTGCCAGCTCCTTTATCCACAAGTCCAAATGTAGTGGATGCCTTTGACTCTGCTCCCTTTGATCCAAAAAGGATGTAAAGTTGTGTAACTTTTTTTTTTTTTTTTTCTCCTGTTTTGAAAGAATGAATGTAGAAACTATATATTTTTGCTCTTGAAATGCAGTAACTACATTTATTCTGAAGTTTCTTTGATGCTTGTGAATGCTTTTGGTTTTTACATTACTAAACTGTAATAATGTGCTCCTATCTTCAAGGAGGAAGGCTCATTGCCTGAAAACTTCATACCTATTGTGGTCCGAAGCAAAAATAGGAAAGATGATAAGAAGGGAATCCCTTTGACTGTTTAATTAATATCTGAGGATGGTTCCTCCGTCTAGTATTCTAACCGTCAAGGGAACCCTTCTTGCCACTGATTTGTACGGCATAGATATATCAATACTTGTTTTCCTTGTATTATTTCGATGTGGGACAAAACTTTCCAAGAATTATATACCGTTAGTCCATTAAAAAAGAATCGATGGGCCTGTTGCCATAGAGAACTTTTGCCCCCAAGTTGGTCTTGTACCTTACTGTCGTAGCCCCGGACTTAAATCGTCCGAGGTGGTATACTCTTTGGCTAGGAGCCTGAGAGGAATTGTATTGCACCGAACTCCTGTTGTCCGAAGTGATATGTTCCTCAATCACGAGCTTGGGAGGAGCTGTACTGCGCCGGACTCTTGAGGTCCGAAGCGATGTGTTTGGCTATGAGCCTGGGAGGAACTATTGTATGCCGGACTTTTGAGGTCCGAGAGCTGTGTTCCTCGGCAATGACCCTAAAAGGAACTGTATTGTGTTGGACTCTTGAGGTCTAAAGTAAGACGTTTGCTTTGTCGCGTCACTCATAGCTTCGTTTTCACTTCGCACGCTCTTATCTCTCTCGGCTACCACTTTAGAAGATAGTAATGAGTAGGGTTTATTTAGAATTGTATATATAATATGTTAAATTGGTAAGTGCAATAACATGACAAGGGATAATAGGAGTAACTCCATATATAATCGGGGCGGAGGTACCCCTCCCCCACCCCAAATCCGGTCAGTTTTTTTTTCCCAATCTCTATCCTACCCTATTTAAATAAACAGTTCTCTAAACCCATTTTAAACGGGACGGGGTGGGGGTGGGGCAGTTCCAACTAGATTGGGGTAAATTGCCATCCCTATTTGTAACAGTTGTAACCCTAGTACAATGGATTTCTTAGAATAAAAAAAGAAAAAAGACTAAAAAGGGGGAAGTAATGGTGATCAAAATCTCTTCAATTCTAGTACAAGGAAAGTTAATGTAACAGTTGTGTATTGTCTAGATAGAAAGTTACTACCACCTACTACTAAAAATATAGATAGAAAGTTAAAGGTAGTAGAAAGTTAGTAGCCCCAAAAATAATTTTATTGTAAACTTAATTTATCGTCAAAAAATTCATAATAAATTTTAATTTGGTCTTTCAAAATATTTATTAGCCCAAATCAAAAAATATATATGTTACTTAATTTGCATATCGATCTCATGTCCCATGCCTTCGTTGAGGTTATGGAAGAAGCTTGGTACCTGGTTATATTTGTTTTTTGGAAGTTGAAAGAATTACACACACACTCTACTTCTACTGAGGTTCGTACTTCCGACCTCCCTTTGGGAAGGAAGGGGTGATACCACTGGGTCAATTGGTCATTTGGTGATCGATGGTTATATGTTAATATAAAGTTATATGGTCTAAGACAAATTAACACGCATCTTAAATTAAGTCTGGTTCAAACCCATAAAATATATTTGTATTAAGAGTAATTTTTAAAAATAATTAATATACTCAGACATGCATACTTCTACAAAATTGAACCATCAAAGCTTAAGATTTTTTTTTTTTTTTTTTTTTTTTTTTTTTTTTCGGTGGAAAAATGGAGGACATACCACTCAAGTCAAAACCTTTAACTAAGTTATATCACTATTTATATATTTTTTCGACAATATAACAAATTTTAGCAAGATGGGGTAAAAAAATATTTGAACAAATGATTCGTACAATAATAAAAGTTAGGATTGCTAAACATGAAAACACTTGGTCATATATGTATTTGATTCATCTCTCTCAGTCCTCTGGATTTTTATAAAACCAAGAATGAGTAATGGATTAATTTATACAATTTACACCCAGCACTTAATGCTGGCCAAAATAATAATAATAATAATAATAGTAGAGAAGCTGTCCAATTGAACAAGGAAGGGAATGCGCCAGATGGCATTCAACCATTGGTGACTGAAATGCTGATGTCACTGAAAATGAGTAGAGCCTGGGTACAACTCTATAAAATATTGACCAGCAAATGGGTCTAGGCCACATGGTTGCTTTTATCAATTATTTATTAATATCGTAATATGTCACAAAGATAAAGATACACATAAATAAGTAGTAATGTGTTTTTTTTTTAAACTACGAAAAGATAAATGATTTTTTACTGCAAAATTTCAAAGTTGTTTTACAAAAACAAGATAAATTTAATTTGCTTTAAATTACAAATATATTTTATTTCTTGATTGAGAAATTTTTTATTGCTCATTTGTTATATAAATATGTATTTGTCTTGATAAGTCAAATCCATGTGATTGGTAATAAGTTACTGAGTTTTTTTTTCTTAAAAAAACATAGTTTATGATTCGATTCGATTCTAAACAATAGAAATTCTGATTTTAATTTTAAATTTTTATGAATCGTTAAGAATCGATTCAATACCAATTTAATCTAAATTTGTAACGAATCAGATCATATACATCCTTAAGAGTTTATACTATAGGTAGGGCTGATTGATTAATTATTTTTAATTTGTTCTTTAGTTCTCATGTGGAAATTAAAGCACTGGACTTTTTTATTTTATTTTTTATATATCTAATTGGTCTTTGTAATTGAGGGGGAAGTGCAGAAAACACCCCTGAAGTATATTTTTCGTAGCACTTTTATCCCCTATTTGAAAAAATGTGCAATAAACACCCCTAATCTTTTAAAATTGTGCAAAATTACCACTCCGTCAGAAATCTGTCGTAAATTACTGCTGTAATACCTATTTTGCCCTTTTACTCTTCCCAAAATGTCCAAGGGGGTATATATGTTACGAATCTCATAGTGTAGGTGTGTTTTATGCACATTACCTTATATATATATATATATTATTTTTTTCTCTATATTTACCCCTTTAGTGTTTTCTCTCTCTATACTTCTTCTAACATTTCTCTCTCTCTCTCTGTCTATTTTTTTTTAGCTAGAGTCAACTTCTTGTATGGCTGGAGGGATAGTGGGAATATTGATCCGGCTTTGCTGGTGGTGAGAATGCTTGGTATGCTTGCTTGTCTGTGAGTATTCTTCTAGTTCTAATCCTAGAGCCTCATTCCGTCAGTTGAGCTCTTTCTTACTTCTCAAACCCCTTTCATCTTTCCTTTATGCTTACATACAATAATATTACATGGAATCTTCAACCTCAAGAAGTCGTTCTTACTCATATGGAAGGGCGAAAGAATGTTACTGCCATTGTAAAGTTAGAAGTCCTTTAAAGATTTCAAATACAGAGAGAAATCCGGGTAAAAGGTTTTATGGTTGTGCAAACTATAGAACTGGTTTATGTGGTTTTTTAAGGTGGAAAGATGAAGAATTGCCCGAGTACTACCGTAAATTAGTTTGGGATCTTATGACAGAGGTGCAAGAGTTGCAACAAACTAAAACATCAACAAGAATTTCAGAAGCACCCATGAATGTGAAGGATGAAAGGTTATTGGAGTTAGAAAATATGATAGTAGACTTGAGAAAAGAAGTGAAAAAAAATGCTCCTACTGTTGGCGGAATATGTTGTGGTTCATTTGGCATTTTTCTCTTTGGCGTTTTTACCTGTATTGTATTTCTTAAGATAGTGATGTGAATTTCTTATTTGACTTCCTGTATTGCATGCTTGTATTTTAGTTTCTATTGTATTTTAATGCCTGTATTGTGGTTCTTGTATTACGTGAAATATTGCATTCAACTTTAATGCTTCAACTATACAAATAAAAAACTGTCATCACTAAACATTTAACCAAATCAATTCATTCATCTAACCTGTCATTAATCATAACCATTCAATTAGTGCAAACCATATATATCAAACCATTCAACTATACCAATGCCAAATTTTTCAAACCATTCAAAAAAAAAAAAAAAAAAAAAAAAAAAAAAAAAAAAAAAACATACAATGCACATCATAAACTTGCAGGAACTGGAATAATTAATTTACCAAAATAATCATCCTAAACAAAACCCAATTTCACCTTCAGTAAATGTACCACTTTCAACACACACACAAAAAAAAAAAAAAACCCATGTAAAACCATTTTCATCAAGTCATCCTAGTCAAAAAGTAAGCAGGCCTACACAAGTCATCCTAGTCAAAAAGTAAGCTGGCCTATACAAAAGTAATACTAGTCCCTGCAACTCCACAACTCCAAAAGTAGTACTATTTTCACCATCTACACAAAAGTAATTGTTGTAGTAATTTAAGTCATACACTACACAGTCCTGTAGTCAAAAAGTAAGCAGGCCTATACAAAAAGTAATATTAGTCCCTGCAACTCCACAACTCCAAAAGTAGTACTATTTTCACCATCTACACAAAAGTAATTGTTGTAGTAATTTAAGTCATACCCTACACAGTCCTGCATATATTGCTGAGATACCAAAATCCATTAATAGTCCCTGCAAACTGGCCAACAAGTAATGACCTGGAACATTAAACAAAGTATGAATAAGAACCCGATCAATGCAAACTATCCTAAAACTAAATGCAAACTGTCCTAAAAGTAAAAACACATAAATGCCACCAGTTTATATAAATGTCAATTCAATGCAATTCAATGTGTATAAGCATCTAATTTTGTACTTCACTATTTGATTCCACATTATGGGTTATATTCTTACAGGCTGTTCAGTATTATTTGATCCACTCTATAAGAGAGGTAGGAGATCCCATTTACTGTAACATGGGATTGAATGCAAATTGAATACATATTTAACAAATGCATTAGTATTTTCATTTGAACTGAGCAACCTGCCCGCCTGGATGGCTCTACATCATGGTAGGGGTGGGTTTGTGGGACAAAATATAAGATAGTATGAGGTCCTTAAATTGCATAATCATTAATAGTAAACATAACGTTCCACATGAACAAATCCTTTTAGCATCAAATGTTATGGATTACAGTTAACATTAAAAATAAAAAAATATCATTGTTGTGATAGATTTCACTGTTTGGACTGATAACAATATATCATTCATTTACTTTTGTATGTCACAGTGTATACTCAAAATTGTGAAAGATTTGCAACCTGATGGTATTTCCAACTGTCCCACCAAAAAAAAAAAAAATTCCACTGTATGTTGCCCCACCCTTGACTTTGGGATGATTTTGAAAATTGTTTTCCTTTTCCAGGGTGTTCGTGGGAAGAGGATTCCCCTTCCCAAATATGTTCTATTGATATCCTTATTCTGGAGATGCACTAATAAAGAAACTAGTCTAACATAATAGGCTTGATCCAGAATATTGGGACAATGACAAATAAAAGGAAGGAGTATGTAGACACATGAGTGAATTAATGGTTAATATAACAGGCCCCAACAAACTAACCTGGTAAGAAAGAAAAAGAAAATGAAAATATTGAATACAAACTTGTACAAAAATAGAAACAGAAAACGAGGGGGGATAAAAATAGATAAAATTTAAAAGGAAAATAAGGTTTATATGGCTTGTCTACAAGCATCATATGCTGACATGTCAACATATTTCCCAATTATGGTTTTTGAGTGTTATAAAGAGAAATATTATGAGAATGATTAAATTTTTAATTTCAAATCAGGTTTATATGACTTGTCTACAAGCATCATATGCTGACATGTGAACATATCCCCACAAACACTAAAATAAAGTTTGTATGAATTTCTACAATTTATAATAAAATCAAACATGCAAGGCAATAAAAGGCACAAATAAGTATTATGTTAATGCAAATACCTAATACCACCAGTCTTGGCTGTCTTGGGTTGCTTGTGATAGGAGAGTAGGTATGTCAACAATTTGAGATTGTGTAACATTAATAACCTGTTTATACAGTTTTGAACAATTAATTATGTCATATTAAAGGCACAAATAAGTATTATGTTAATGCAAATAGAGTGTTAAGCACAATATATCTCACTAGTTGTGATTGGAACATCTACAAAGTTGGAAGTCCTAATGTCAACACTGCCTAATGCACCCCTTCCTTGTGTTGTCAGTCCACTGCTACTACTGCCCCAACCACTGCCAAATGCACCCCTTCTTTGTGTTGTCACTTCACTGCTACCACTGCCCAATGCACCCTTCCTTGTATTGTCACTCTAATGTTACCACTACCCCTAGTCTTTACTGTTTTTCCTCTCTTAGTCCTTCTAAAAGTCCCATTACCTCTTCCTTGTGTTGTTCCTGCTGCTCTTCCTCTCCCAATCCCTCTAACAGTCCCATCACCTCTTCCTTGTGTTGTTCCTGCTGCTCTTCCTCCCCCAGTCCCTCTAACAGTCCCATCACCAACTTAATTCTTAACATCTTAAATGTCACCACTAGAAATATGCAATATTCCAAGTTGAGGGTTTGAAGGCCTGCCTCCCTTGCTTCTTGGTGGTCTAGACTCTACTGGTTGATTTTTGCAGGTCCTTGCATTGTGATCATGAGCTTTACACTTTCCACACACAATGTATGGTCTTTGTCTGAATATATTTTTTGATTTAGATGTACCTTCACTATGAACTTTCATTCTTGCTTTCTTTGGCCTTCCAGGAGGTTTCCTAGTTATTGGAAAGATTAAAGGCACAAGTGACAGTTTCTTCATGTGCCTAAGGACCAATGGATTGATCTCGAATGCATATCCCTTCAAAAATGTTGACCTATGGTGGTAGGCATCAACATATTCTTCAATAGGTAGTTTTTTCTTAGTCATAACAGCAATGGCATGCTTGCATGGGATACCTGTGACATTCCATTCCCCGCATGTACAACTTATCTCTTGTAGATTTACAGACTCATTGTCAATCTCATCTTGGACATCATAACAAGATAGTGAAGAAAAATATACTACACAATTCTTTGATTCCTTCTTGTTTGCCAACACTTTAGCCTTTGCAGCTGGACACAAGAGCCCTTTTTGTTGTTCCATGTATTCCCTCCTCTCATGAAACCTTGACATTAAACCCCTTCTAATCATCTCAAACATTGTAATGATAGGTTTGTCTCTTGCCTTTAATATGTGTGAATTCCATGATTCACACATATTATTACTATTAAGACAACACTTGGAAGCATCTGTGAACTTAGACTTGGTCCAAAACCTAAATGGGATTCTGCACAACCAGTCATATGCCTCACCATTGAGTTCCCTTATATTATGCATATGTTTCTCAAACTCAGGTTTATTGAATGCATTTGCAGCATTCCACACCATTTGCTTCAACTCCATGCCTGGATATTTCTTCTTAAAGTTCTCATGCAAGTGCCTAACACAAAACCTGAGATCTTGACCACCATCCAAAGATGCAAGTGTGTCCACCAAGCCCTAAAGGTAACATATAAAACAATTTCTCAGTTAGTTTTACATATAAACTGCATTTAAAAAAAAAACTGAATAACTTCAAATAACTGAATTACTTAAAAAATAATAATAATAACTGAATTACTTCAAAAAAAAAAACTGAATAACTGAATTACTTCAAAATAATAAAATAATAAAACAAATTTACCTTCTGTCTGTCTGAAATCCAAGTTATTGCTTTGTGGGGACTAATAACAACCATTAACTCCTCCATGAACCAATCCCAGCTGTCTTTAGTCTCTGCTTCAACAACAGCAAGTGCAATGAGATAAAAACTGCTGTCTCCATCTCTACCAACAGCATTAAGCAGAATCTGATTATAAGGAGTCTTCAAGAAACACCCATCCAGTCCAATAAAAGGCCTACAACCCTCCTTAAGGGAAAAAGACTCTCTCAAATCTTGTTGACATCCCATCAGGCTCCAACTTTGTCTTTACTTTGCAAACACTACCAGGATTTGTCTTCATTACAAGGGCAAAATATTCTCTAATTTTGGAAAACTGGTGCTCATGGTGACCTTCAATAATCTACAAGGCCTTCCTCTTTGCCTTCATCACTTTGAACCTAGACACTTCAATCTCCAAGTTATCAGCAACATGGTGTTGGATACCATCATTTTTCCATTCAGGTAGCTTCCTAAATTTGTGCACATACTTCTTTGCAATGTAGGTAGAAGTTGCTTGCCTATTTATCTCAACTTCAGGGCAATCAGGATCATGAGGTTTAATTGTACTTAGCTCAAAGCTGCCATTTCCTCTCAAAGAAGCATGTATCCTTCATCCACATCCATTCACACATGTAGCAGTGACCCTTGTTCTTTCATTCTTCTTAAACCTTGTATCATACCTGTTAGCAATAACATGCTCTCTCAAGACAGCTTTAAATTCTTTAGCATTTGTAAACTTCATGTCTATAACCAATTCTTTGTTCCTTTCATCCCTTGCAATTTTGGTTTTTGGTTGTTTAGGTGCACTATTAATCTCTTCATCATCAGATTCACTGTGAATACTCTATAACTCATCACTTGGTGCATATAGGGACACATCATCCAATTCCTCATCATCCACTTCAATATTACCAAACTCATCATTCTCAACATTCTAATTTTCAGTATTGCCATCACAGTCAGCATTCTCATTCTCAGCATTTTGATTTTCAGCATTGCCATCATTGCCAGCATTCTGATTTTCAACACTGAAACCACTGTCATTATCAGTGTCAACTTCTTCTTCCACTGATCTAACAGCTTCATTATCCTCTTCATTTGGCTTGCTGACATAAATGTGGATCTGTGGAATATTTTTGTATGTCTCAAACATAACCATCACACTTAGGTCATTAAAAACTTGTAATAAATGCCCATGGATGAGATCCTTGTAGAAAATCTTGCTATGTGCATTCAAATGAAGGCTTTTGAGCATGCCTTGAAGTTCAATGTATGACATTGTATCACTATCCACATTATCAAACAGCTCCAACTCACCTCTAACATACTTGTTACGCTTGTCGAAATTGCCCGAATGAGGCAGATGAATTAAATGACTTGTCTCCATCTTCTAAATAGTTACAAAGTACACAAAAGCATTAACAATGACTAAAACTTTGAAACTATCCATGCATATCAGAGCGGGATCTATAGATCCGTCGTACAATATACATGGCATGGATACTAAAAAATATGGTTAGTATACATGTACAATAAAGAATAATGTGAAAATAAAAAAATAAATTAAATGACTTGTCTCCATCTTTTAAATAGTTACAAAGTACACAATAGCATTAACAATGAGTAAAAGTTTGAAATTATCCATGCATATCAGAGCGGGATCTATAGATCCGTCATACAATATGAATGGCATGTACACTAAAAAGCATGGTTAGTATACCTATACAATAAAGAATAATGTGAAAATAAAAAAATAATAAAGTTATTATAGATATGCAATATAAAAGTCTGTATACATGTACAATAAAGAATAATGTGTAGCAATAAATAATAAAATTGCAGTGTGTTTGGAATAATTATTCAAAGACAAGAATAAAAAAAAAGCCTAACTTTTTAGGCTATGTGGTCCACCATTATAAGAACCACCAACTCTTAACCACATAAACAAACAACAAAAATATATAAAATGACAAAAATGTATTGAATGAAGATAGAACTAGCTAATTTGACAACTTATAGTAAATATATATATACATATATAAATAATCTGTTATGCTAGGGACCACAAAAACAATCAATATGTTATGCTAGGGACCACAAAAGCAATCAGAAAAAAATTTACAAATATTATCAATCCTTTTGTAGTTGTGTGTGTGTGTGTGTGTGTGTCATGTAAATTCAACTCCTGCATTAGCTGTGAAAAGAAACATGATCTACCATTCTTTTGGCTCGTTTACAAATATTATCAAGTTCATTATATTTAATTTATCTTATTCAAGGTTTCCTGAAGCCAACAAACAACAAAGAAGTAAAAAAAAAAACACTTATAGAAATAGCCAATTTGACAACTTATAGTAAAAATATATATAAAAAAATAATTTGTTATGCTAGGGACCACAAAAACAATAAATATGTTATGCTAGGGACTACAAAAACAATCAGAAAAAAATTTGAAACAAAAACCCTAACAAAGAAGTAACAAAAAAAAAACTACTGTATCAAACAAATACAAATTTAGCCTTTTGGACAAACCACTGTAATATGGATCACAAAATCAATCAATTTTCACAAAGTCAAAAGCAAAAAAAAAAAAAAAAAAAAAAAAAAAAAGGAGTCGTAGCATGTCAATTACAAAATAAAAACATAAAAGCTTAACTTTATAGACATATTGGAGAGAGAGAAATATATATATAGAAATCCTAACATATATCATAAAGAAGGAAAAAAAAAACCTTAACAAAGAAGGAAAAAAAAACCTTAACAAAGAAAGAAAATTACCCTAACAGAGAAGGAAAAAAACCCCTAATAGAGAAGGAAAAAACCCTAATAGAGAAGGAAATGTAGTGCGGTGATTTAACATAGAGAAAAAAAAAATACCCATCAATAAATTACATATATTAAAACTCTAATACAGAGAGAGGAAAAAAAAAAAAAAAAAACATAACAAAAGAAGGAAAAAAAAAACCTTAACAAAGAAGGAAAATGCAGTGCAGTGATTTAACCAGAGAGCGAAAAAAAATACTCATCTAAACTCTAATACAGAGGGGAAAAAAAACCTAATAAAGAAGGAAAAAACCCCTAACAGAGAAGGAAATAAAACCCTAACAAATAAGAAAAGAAACCCTAACAAAGAAGGAAATTAAAATCCTTACCGAGAGAAAAATCACATGGACATTAAAAAAAATAGAAAGATAAATAAGGGTTACCAAGAACTTATATTCAGGTTTCGTAGAAAGACACGAACCAACCTTCGATCTTTATACGATTTATACGTTTAGGGTTAATGGAACTTAAAGCTAGGGTTTTTGGTTTGCAATGGAAAATCGTGATCGCGATCGCAACCTAAGGCTAGGGTTCTGGTTTCTCTCTATAGAACGTGACCCCTCCTTGTTATGATGAGAATATGGATCTAGGGCTTCTGGTATCAAGAACGTGAGGTTTTGATTGCAACAGGCTAGGGCTTGTGGTCGCTATCTCAAGAACGCGAGACAGTGATGATGCAAATGAATGGAAAATGGAATGATTTACAGTTTTAATGAAAATGGGTGTCTGGCAAAACAAAACGACGTCACTTATTTAGTGTGTTCTTTTTGGTCTTTTTACAATTTTTATTTTTATTTTTTATATATATTTAATAAAATGCTTTAGTAAGGGTATTTTGGTCAATTTATGTTTTAAATGCGTGAGGGGGACCTAATTGCACCAAATTGAAACTTGAGGGGTATTTTTTGCATGGGAAGGGTGTGATATGCACTATATGCATACTTCATGAGTGTTTTTTGCACTTGACCCGAACATCTCCAAAAAGCCCGCGAGAAGTCTGTGGAGTCCTTTACCAACCTACTTCTTTTGATTTCAATTTGAGGATGACTTTGCTTCTTGGAATCTTAAGTGTGCATATATTCTTGCTCTAATTTTTATTTTTATTTTCTTAGCCTTTTGGATCAAAAGATGGATCTGGTTGAAAATACTTTATGGTCTATGTCTATTCTACAATGTATTCAATAATGACGAGTTTTTTTATTTATTTTATGATGTCATTAGTACACTTAAAAAACAATTAAAATTGAAGATATTTCTAATACATAAATCACACAATTATTTGCATACTCACTAAGTTCCCTCTCCATATTATTTAAATTTTATTAGTTGTGTCTCAAAGTCCATGTGGTTAAGTCTAATAATAAAATATTTTACAAACATCTCATAAAATGATATATAAGAGGAATCTTTACTTTTTGGATGGATTCATCTTGTCCTTCAAATGTCCTGTGAGAGAGTCCCAATAATCTGCTATTGAAATCTCGTCTTCAGAATTAAGATCTTCATTAGGATCTATACTATTTTGAAATTACATGAGATTTATTTATTCATTTAAAAATATAGTAATGCTACAAAGAGATTCCAATGGATCTAGAGGTTTTTTTTTTTTTTTTTTTTTAATTTTTATTTATGATAAGTCAAATGAATTATTTAACAAGTCTTCTCATGACTCTTAATAGCATTGCCCATAAAAAAAAAAAAATCATTAGGAAAAGAATCACCAAACAGGGTTGCTTCGCCCGGTAAATTACACCTTTAATAAGTTTTCTTCAGTCAAGCCCAATGTGGTTAACTTTTTTCTGTTTCCTTAAAAAAGAAACGGTAAGAATATTAGTAAAAAAATAGTCTTTAATGCTATGAAAGCTTTGTAACAGCTGTAACCCTAGTACAATGGATCTCTTACAATCAAAAAAGAAAAAAAGAAAAAAAGAAAAAGTGGGAAGTAATGGTGATCAGAATCTGCATAGAAAGTTAAACGTAAAGAAAGTTAGAAGCCACCAAAAATAATTTTATTGTAGATAAACTTAATATATGGTCCAAAAATTCATAACAAATTTTAATTTGGCCTTTTAAAATATTTTCAAAATCTTTATTAGCCCAAATAAAATAAAAAAATTACTTCATTTGCACAGACATTTTATTTTTATTTTTTATTTTTACCTTCTTTGGAAAAGTAAGAGATTGATATTGCTAGGCCAATGACCCATTGGTTCATATAGACCTATATAATATTCATTATATGAATTTAGAAGAGGAAAAGAAGAAAATTATACAAATGTACCTCATGTCTAATAAAAATGAATAATTTATTTTTAATGATATAATATTTGTAAATATATATATTTTTTAGTTGATACCCACACAGGTCACACACATGTCTCAATTGAGATTATGGGAGAAGTTTGGTACCACTAGTATACTGAGAG